ACACACACAGAATTTTCACATGGCCTAACATGTCTCCTTCTCCCAGGCAGTGGCCTTGCAATAAAAATCTAAAGCACGAACAAGAGCAGAACCCACATAGCTGGTCACCTTTTTCCAAAAGCCGTGCTTCGGTTCCCTCCATGCTGGTGCATCAGTTTGCTGATCCAAGTAAAATTTATTCACTCATTATAAAACTTTTTTTCCCTTCACCCCTCAAAATGTGTAGAATATATAATATCCTCACACTGAAAAATTTGGAGATCCCTGCAATAAAATATTAAAAATATTTGCATGCAAGCAGACAGGCAGGGCAGGGCTGGGCAGGCGGGAACCAAACAAACAAACAAACAAACAAACAAACATGTAAAATCTCCCTAGAAGCAAAAATGACTAAACTGGGCACATCATGACAAATCAGGATTCTCTGGAAAAGACAATAACACTGGAAAAAGATGAAGGCAAGAGGAGAAGAGGGAAACCAATAAAAGATATATGAACTCAATAAAGGAAGTCGTGGCCTCACAAGAGCTGTGCAAGGCTGTTGACAATAAGAATTAAGGATCACCATAAGTCAGAATCAATTTGATAGCATGTACTGTAATTATTAATTAACTCACAGGGTCTTTGTAAACCAGAAGCATTTTGCCAGCACATAAGAAAAATCAAGAAAAAAATTCCTTTTGCATTTTCTATAAATGTTGCCATGTTAGTTTGTTGCACAAGAGTCGTGACTCTTTTTGTGATAAAATTAATTTAAATAGATTACAGTCCACTTCTATCTGATTATGTGTCCTTTAGTCCATCATAAGTATGTGTGCCTGCCATTAGTCTTTGTCGTCATCCCGCTTCAGTAGTGAGTGCTCAGTTCAAATTACACCTTATTTTGATGTTACTTGAGCAACTCACTGGCCATAAATGGGAATATATCCAGGATGGTCAGATTGATAATATATTCAAGGTTTTTAAAAAAGGAGAGAGGACTGAGATAAATAATAAGATATAAATATTCTCAAATCTAAAGCAGAATGCTCAGCACTGCTATCCTAAATATTGGGGTCTCCTAATACTTTACTAATCTTCGTTTTCCATATGCTGGAATGGGACTGCAGGGATTCTGGCAGCATCTGCATTGGTGTGGGCTATCTCATATAGATGGCTGGACCATTGATATATTCTTTTATCTCAATTCCTTGTCCATATTTACTCAGTTCCTCTTTGTATTTGAGCCTATGATGGTGATTAATTGTTGGATTACAGGTAATCTACTTCATATCAGATGCACAACAGATGGATGGGGATCCATCAAGCTGTTAGAGATGGAAAAGGACCTGCTGGGTTTTACAAAAAGAACACTCAAAACACAAATAAAGCTTTTAGGATGCCCTGTGATTTTAAAGAAGAAATAGTGCATGGAGGGGGAGAAGGGCATTTATACAGTAAAGACATGGAGTATTGAAAATATGTTTTTGATGTGGACTGTCCGCCAAAAAAAGGGGTGGGGAAGGAGTTCCACAAAATATTCAGAAGCTATTTAAATACTTTTGTGTTTATTTTGAAACATAAAATCTAATATTATTGTATACTGGAATACATACATAGACATTTCATGTCCATTCTTTGAAAAATAATTGTTTGCTGTCAAGTTGATTCTGACTTCTGATGACTCTTCCCAGGGTTTTCTAGGTAGAGAATATTCTGAACTGGTTCACCATTCCCTTCTTTTGGGGGCATCCTGCCCAAGGATACACAGGCCAACTCTTTCCCCATGAGCCACAGTGAGGAACTGAACTCACAACCACTGGCTCCACAACCAGATACTAAACCACTGAGCTAACCAGATAGATAGATCAATAGATTGGTAGATTTGTCCTATTCCACCTCCATTGACCCAGAGGAACACAGGGCCCATGTGATTTGTGTTGAACCAATTTGATTTAGTGCTCTGAATACCTGCAAAACACTGTGACCAGACAAATAAATAAATGGACATTACAAGGAACACATCATTAGAAGAGTGAATGCCTTAAGTGATGAAAGCATGTGATTTACACAGCAAGAGCTTTTCATGCTTCCTATAATATACAAATTACCTTGAAGTGATTGGTTTTCTGCATGTAAACATAGACTTCATTTGCAAGTCTCTGAAACACTGACATGATCAGCAGCTGAATGTCACGTTATGTGTAACATGTTGTTTGGGCCTCTCTGTCTCTGGAATCAGTTTCTATCGTAAGGTTGTTCTTGTTATGTGCTGCCAAGTGGTTTCCAACTCTAAGAATGAAGGTTTCTAAAAGGTCTTATCATTAAAAACCCTGCTCAGATCTTGTAAACCCAAAGCTGTGGATTCATTTATTTGGTCAGAACGAGCCTCGTGGCGCAGTGGTTAAACTGCTATACTGCAGCCAAAACTGTGCTCACAACCTGGGGTTCAAATCCCAGGTAGCCGGCTCAAGGTTGACTCAGCCTTCTATCCTTCCGAGGTTGGTAAAATGAGTACCCAGGCTGCCTGGGGGGGGGCAATGTGTAGCCTGCATAATTAACTTGTAAAACTGCCCAGAGAGTGCTTGAAGCGCTATGGGGCCGTATATAAGCAGCACACTTTGTATACATGCGAGCATTTGATAAATATTATATGTAGTACTGATCCAGAGTTGAGATCACCACCTAAGAGCTTGACAACTCATTATCTGAATACTCTCTTAGTTTTTGGTACCTTTCTGATTTTAAACAGGCTCTGTTCTCTGTTATCAGTAGGTAGAATGTGACAAACGAATGCCTGATAAAGGGTCGTCTTATTCCAGGCCTGCCAATACCCTGTAGGATGCAACAATACCTGGCAGGATGCAACAACCCGGCTGTCTTATCACATCTGGAAAGAGGCAAGCTATTGATTTCCTCAGTGTTCCAGCCATGCATCTTAAGCAAGATTTAATATCAAAGTTGTCTTCCTCACATTCTTGAACTTCAGACGTGCTCCAGGAGTGAACAAAATAATGGTTTTAAAAAATATGTCCTGTTTCAGCTTTTTTGACCTTTTTAACCTAGCAAACACCTGAAATTATCTTCAATTTTGATTTAATCCAAACTACCAATTTCTCTGTTTTCTACCAGCTAGTGTGCATCACCTGAAATGGAGTCTGTTCTAAGTGTACAGATGAACTTTATATTTTTGAAAATGGAGGATCAAACCTTTCTGCTTTTCTTGCTTCCACATTTCTGGAGGTTAACCAGGAGAAACCTAAAACCATCACATCACCTGCTAAAGCCTTGTTCCAATGCCTGCAGTCACTTCATCCTCCAGTACATTTCTGGACACATTGCAGATGCCTGAACTTCAACTTGAAGCCAGCTTTCCTTGGTTGTTATTGTTTTTTCTCTCTCCTCCCTCCCTCCCTTTTTGGAGGACTGTGCCTGATGAAAAAAATTGTAAGGTCTTAAAAGCTTGCACACCCGTGTCCTTTCAATAAGTCTAATTTAAAAATCCCATCCTCCTAAGGATGCTGGAATATTTTCTATGGACAAGGTAGAGAGATAATTTGTTTCTTCATTAATTTTTATCTTCAAGAAGCCAAGAATGTTGGAGCATATGATTTAAAGAATTTGAGAAGCCTCTGACTCTCCCACATCCATCATCTCTGCTGCAAAGCTGGAAATCTTGTTGGCTTCACCAAGCTTATCCAGAATTTTTACTGAACAGGGGAGAAGACTATCAGTTTCATACTTCTTTTTAAAATCATGCAAGCAAACAAATGAACAGTGGTAAAGAAGACAACAGGTCTGGATGGGTAGAATTACGTAGTAATCAATGTCTCACAGACCCCTCCTGTACTTCAGGTAAGATAATCACAGTACTTTATATTGCCTCAACAGTAAACATTGTTGGCTTTAATTCCAAATGTTTTCTGTCTCCTGGGAGTAATACAGGACAAGGAGCAAAACAGAGGAATTCAATTTCAACCACCTCTGACGCACCTTATCAGCATTCTCAGCAAGAAAGAGCAAATGGAAGCACACCAAGTGGTTCAAATAAAAGCACACAAATAAAATCACACAAATGGACTGTTGCATTTTATATTTAGCTAGAGGGAGAAGCGTGTTACCTGGTAGAACTTATTCTGTCATACAATTGTAATATACAAAGGCCACAATTTCTTATTTCTAAATTTAGTGTATGTTAACAGATAACTGGAGTAAGTTTTACCGGTCTGCCTGTATGGGAGATTACAGGAATTCGATAACAGGATTTGACTACATACTTTTTAGGAGCATGAATCTATCCCTTTCCACATGTATTACATTAATACTTTTAAATGAGAGGGTAAATTGTGACATTTACAAACTGGCTGTCATATCAGGAATCTAAGGCTCTGCAATGTGATCTGGGTTCAAGTTACAGCTACCACATGCAATACAGCAAAACAGCAACAAAATTACTCCAGCTCGTTTTACCATATGCGTAGTGTGTGGTTCACCTTACCCACATAAGATCTAGTAAATTGTAGGCTGCAAAAATGTGTGCAGTCATGAAATATGTTCATCTATAAAGTGCCACAATTCTGTGTGTGTGTGTGT